TTTTGTTAAAGCTTCCTCTTCTTCTCTCTAACACGCTGACACACAAACAAACGATGACACACACACACACACTTGCAGTGGCCAACCTAGATGGTCAAGTGTGTGATAAAGTGCTGTCTGGTGTTCTCTCACTCTCTAAGCCCCCTGAGACTAGATCAATACTCAGCATTAGGTTACCACTAATGTCTTCATAACCTTAACCAGGCAGTGTGTATGTGTATGTGTATGTCTGCCCCTGGTGTGACCCAACTTATAATTATTATTAAATGTCAATGAAGGCGATAGGGAGGGCTAGATTGTGCAGATAAATTCCAAGGCCTTGACTTACAGCGCCTCCTAGGGATATCTATTGAGAACTGCAGCTTCAGTAAAGGATGCAGTGACTTCTCTGAGTAAAAAGAAACTGAAGTCAGTGATGTGTAAAAAGCTCTGACTGCATGTGTGTGCATCAGTGCTTTGTGACTTGCAACTTAAATTAGAAGAAAGCCTTTACCTCGTAATCCCCCTCCTCCATTATCTGCCTCTGTTCGGCTACTGTTTCACACCTGCAATTATGTTGCTGAGTCATACAGGATAGTTAACACGTTAATAATATATCTCCTGAAATAACAGGTATACATTAACTTTGACAGAGACTCTAGCTAGTGATCAGTGTGGTTAGTGGTTTGCCCGATTTAAAATTGTGTGCATTGCTCACATTGACGCCAGCTCTGACTTAAAGGAACATTCTGTTTAATTAGTACTTGCCTCAAATTTGATCAGTTTTGAACGTCAGTCACGATACACTGTGCTCACCAAAGCGCTGAGATTTGAGATCACAGCAGTAGCGTTTGAAGGGGGCAAGACACAAAGACAGAGCCGAGCTAAGATAGATTATTGATATCACTTTTTTTTTTTTTTTTGCTGGTAAAGTCAACAGTGAGCACAGAATACTTTACAGAACTGTAAGTACCCAGACCCCATTTTTGTGTAAACGCCCAAGCTGAGCATTTTCCATTGTTCTATAAAGGCCAGATCTAGATAAACTACTCATAAAGGAATGTTTATTTAAATGAATAAACGAATGCTTTTATATGTCATTGCACAAGTACAACAAAATGTAATGCTTCTCTCTCAACATGCATAAAAACATACACATGTGTAATAGTCCCATAAAGTCCATGATAGTAATACTAATAAATAAATAATAACTATAATTTCTTAAATTCCTGGGTGTTCTGTGTGCCCTAAGCAGCAATTTAAGGTCAGTGTGTAGATGAATACACTGTAGCACCAAAG